GAGAGAGAGAAAGAGAGAGAGAGAGAGAGAGAGAGAGAGAGAGAGAGAGAGAGAGAGAACGGATTAACAGAAGAAGGAATGAAGACGTTATCACAATCGCATAGCTTATACATGGTGTTGCTATTGCAGTTCACAAGCTACGACCTTCAGACATCGACGTTGTCGCAGGCATGGGCGACTCTCTCACTGTAAGCTGAGCCCATATTATATAGAAATCCTCTTACAGATCACTTACATCAGCATTTACATCGAAAATACTATAGATTACCATGCCACTGTAACAACTCGGAATGTATAGCACTCCTTTATTGTACGTTTTCGTTAAAATCAATCACTCGAACCTAAGAGCATTCTTTCATTTCTTCATTCATTTATCCAATAATTAATTTATTTATTTACTTATTCATGTAGTCATTTTTACTCAGTGAAATAATGTCGACTCTCACTAATGTACTATAAGCATGGGGTCCTGCATGAACAGTGCTGAACATTCACCCCACGAGACATGTCAGTAACGTACAAAAATCATGGAATAAATACATCATGGCGTCATGGTGATATTTTGCAGGCAGGAAACGCGATAAATGCTGCAACTATAGCCGGTGTCTTCACACAGTACAAAGGTATCACATGGAGGTACGTATCCTGAAATACCATCATGCTTGGAGCATAAGTTATCTGGAAATTATTGAGATCTAATGAGCGAAATCAAACTGGTGAAGTTTGGCGCTAAATTCCCTCGAGATATAGGTATCGACTGTTATATATATAACGATATTGTCATAATTATAAGATGCGTGATCAAATAAATTCGTTAACCTTGACAAGATACCCAATATACAAAACCATGTTATAACGTGTATGTTTTTGTCACTTGGTGTAATGCTAGAACAGAATTAGAGGATTGGACGCGAGTGTGTTCATGTAGTTGTCATGATTTCAGCATGGGTGGCGAGAACTCTCTAGATGAAACAGTCACGATACCGAGTAAGTAAGCAAGCAAGCAATATTGATACAAATATTCCTATTACTATTATATTTGTTCACCACCACCACCACCACCAACACCACCGCCGCCGTCACCACCGCCACCACCACCATCACCAACACCACCGCCGCCGTCACCACCGCCACCACCACCACCACCAACACCACGTACCACCGCCGTCACCACCGCCACCACCACCATCACCAACACCACCGCCGCCGTCACCACTGCCACCACCACCACCACGAACACCACGCACCACCGCCGTCACCACCGCCACCACCACCATCACCAACACCACCGCCGCCGTCACCACCACCTCTACCACGAT